ACCTCTTAACATCTGTTTAAGTGTTTCTGCTTTTGTAAAACTATTAGTGAACTGAAGGCATTTTTTGGCCTTCCTTTCTTATTGCATTCATACTAATAACATCCAGACTAAAAGGCTTTCTAGCGTGTACTGAGGTATCACATTACTGCTAAACATCTAAAATATATTGTTAAAAATGGGGCTCTGCTAGTTTGTTGTTTTCAGTGTAATGTTTAAATACAAATAAACAGTATGGAAACAATTTCAAACTTTGATGCAACTTTGTTTTTACACTTTGTTAAAGTTATTAATGACAGTTAAATGCAAAGCTTGTATCAGTGTGTCTATTTTAAGTGTTTGTGAGTGATTCAGTATAATAATTCAACACTCTTACATTGTTTAAAAAGAGAGAGAGAGAGAGAAATTATTTTGTATCCAGCGACTTAGGGGCTTTCATTTTTTCAGATCAAGTTCAATTTTTCTGATCTTTCGGATGCTTTTAAACACATCTGACCAATTGCAATGTTGTCTAGTGGTGATGCAATCAAAATGTTCATTCATCACAGTGGAACATTTGATTCTTATCATGTCACAGAACGGCTCACCACTGGCTCTCTGAAATGATTTATCTGCCGCCTCAGGCGTGGTCCCATCATGAACCCAGTTTCGTCCTTTTTTGGTTTAGTAAAATCAGGATCTGCTCGCTTCATGCTGACTGATACCTTCTTTTCTTTCTTTGTGCATATTTTTAGGATGAATTTTTCACACAAATGCAGTCTATTCTGTGAAAATGAAGGAGACAGGACTACAAGGCAGATAATGCATTAGAACAGAGTTACTACTTGTATTCCATTTGAAATCAAACCTACTTTAAACTTCACAAATAAGTTGCATTTGATGTACACAGAGAATACTTCACTCGCATCACCTGAGTAAATAAAAATACTGTCAGATAATGAAGAAGGAAAACCAGCTATTACACAACTCAGTCAAGCTAAACGATAGTTATTAGATCCATCATGCTGATTTTAGGAAGAAATGCCAAACTTTATTAAATCATTAAAAAGAAAAAAACCTCACAACTCACTGTTGAGGGTAACCAATCAATGTTACCGTCCGAGTTGTAAAGACAGTTTCTAATTATTTCATGCTTCAATGCAGCACAGGAACTAAACTAAGTTAATTAAATATTGAAATGTTTTACCCGAACTTTATCTTATTAGATTTATCCAAGTAGTATTAAAAACGTATTATTTCGCGCAACACCCACGGATAATAGACATGTTCTGAGATTTTCAGTGTGACTTAAAAACTAGCAACTCAACTCACTTGCTAAGCTTTTGCCTACTATACAACTATTAGAATTAATTTTGAAACAACACTTCGTAACCACTCTGATCATACCCCTCCCATCGCTGTTTCCAAAGAAACAGTGAACGGTCATCAAAAGCAAAGAGCATATGAATTGAATCAAGTCTCTCTGCCCGCTTCGCGCTCAAGGAAAAGTATCACCAACTCATCATCGTGGTTAGCGAGACCATACACTTTAGCAACACATTTCTCAAGTTAGAAACTATAGAAATGATCCCTGAAAGTATAGTCTTAAGGAATAACCGCCCCGACCCAGCTACTACTATGACGGCCCTGTCCATCTCTGTCACGGTGCTAACAGCAGTGTGTGCTGCTTATGCTTACTGTGTCACGTATCGTAGTTGTGAAATAACGAAATAACATTAATACACCGAACAGTACTCGTCTGCGAGCTCTGAAGTGACATAAATAATTACCTTTGGAGTACCCACAATGCTCTCTGATGGTATGCCCCTCCTCTACGTCTGTCATTGGCTGCTGTGATGCCGCATGCCGCGTGTTAGCCTCGGATGCTAACAACAACAGAGGCTTGAGCCGCATATTTACAGCCGTGGTTTGGAACAATCTGTCTAGCACACACTGGCTGGATGCTACCGATACATGTTGTAACACAGACAGAGATAAAATGAGAAAAATATTTTTGTTAAAAACTTTTATGATAAAAACAATATGTTAGCAAGCGTCACGTGTGCGCCTGTTTTTGTCTTCCGACTACAAACAGGACTGTAAACCTATTCCTACCTTGACAAGTGTTTTGCATTTTCTTTTTTGTGTGCCAAAACAACAGTAATTACAGATATGGAAAAGTACTCTCCATAACAAAAGCTTAGAGTTATTAATTATCCTTTCAGAAAGTCTCTAGTCTCTTTGGATCTGTCTGTGGCAGCTGTCAGGTAAACACAAGCAGAGAGGGATGACGTTTGATTACAAGCCACCATTAATCAGCAATAGCTTAAACTGCTAATTGAGTAAAAACAATTAAAGTCATGTAACTTCCTACATTTCAGCAAAGCTCACATGGAGCTATATTACATGTTCAATAACAAGATTTTGATGTTTAGAGTGGGGTTTCTGCTACTTCACAGCTTCATGAAAATCGCCAAATTATTAACCTTTCCCATGCCACAAGTAAACAGATACAACAATAAAATATTTATTTGATTAACCATCCATACTAAGGTCTAAACTGAGTCTGCGGGTAATAAAACACATAAATTGCAGGATTTTTGCTTAATTAGGACGTGAATTAAAAGTAAACACAAGCTTAATTTATAACGCTTTGCTGTGATCAGTGGTGGGGTAATTACTCAAAAAAGGAATGTGTTACACATAATGCACAGAACACTTCTCTTAAAAGTAAAGCAATGCATTACCTAATTACTCTAGGAGAAAGTAATTTGTCGTACAATTCGTTAGATTACGTTTGTGTTTCCCCATAAAATGACTTGAAACACATTTTCGCAAACTTACCATTCTTCTTGACTAACATTAGTGTTAGCATGCTGTCTGTGCAGCTGCTCGCAAAGAGACTGCTGTGTTAGCAGCATAATGCAGATGTTTATGTCCTGTAGCAGTTTTTCTTTTTGTCCAATAAAAATAAAAGTAATCCATGTCCACTAATTTCCTCTTCAGGCACATGGATTTAAATAATCTGAACTGCGAGTGGGACCGACAGGCCAGCTCGACCGGCTAACAATCCCAGGAAACTGAACTGCGGGAACAATTACACAGCATCACTGTAAAATCTTGGCACAAGTGGTTTTCATCACAAAGCTGGGAAAGTCCTGCATTATAGGAGCCACAACATTAAAGATGACCTATAGCAAACAACGCTTAAACGTAGAAGAACAGCTCAGTAAAATAAAACACAGCATAAACAAGAAAAATCAAAATGAAGGGTTAAACATTTAAAATATTATAAAATTAAGGAGCTCAACATAGAGAGATTTAAATAAAATAGTAGAGTCCTCTGTAAGAAAACCTGAATATAATAGAATAAGGAGCTAAACAAGATAAATATAAAGACTGTGATATGAGGCAGACACTCTTGATAGAAACGTGCTGGTTTGAATGCTGTGAAAGAGCAAAATGAAGGGTCCATCCATCCTTCAGCATTCTTTTCATATTAAGTGACACCGCCCTCTACTGGCTGTTTAGTGTAAAAGCAAACTATCTGACAGTAATCCTGTTTTTTGTCCACGTTTTTTAAATATAATATAAAACCATAAAAAAAAAAAAAAAAGGGGTTAAGGTGCCCCGGAACCAACAAAAAAAAAGTAAAAGGCAATAAACCCAATTTTTTTTATCATGTTGACCCGCCTCTTCCATATTGTTTACGCTTACGTCATTCAACTGCGCCGCTCACATGTTCGGTAACTGGAGGCTGTGAGGCGACTCATCTCCCGGCTCAGGCATGTTCGCTTCTCTCTCTCCTGTTGAACCTGCAATGTTGCTGTTAATGTGGCGTTGAGTAATTTCTGTATGTGTTTATAGTTTGGTTTAAACAGCAGCACAAACACGGAATTCCTGAAATGTCTCCACACACACACACACACACACACACACACACACACACACACACACACGCACGGACTCTGTTTCAAAGTCTGCAGCTACCTCAAGATGAACCACAGAACATGAGAAATGCGTGGACATTTAAAGAAGAGCGTCACGTTTCTTCTGTGTGTGTTTGCAGGGCATGCCTGCTGGGATGGCTCATACTAAACCGGAAACGAGTGAAGTGCAGCTGAATGGAACTTCAGAGCTCATGGATCTGCTTCACATCGACGTGGAGACAGATGCTGTGGACACCAAGCCCGGGAGAGAAGACCTGCCCTGTTCTGTGAGTGCACAGTGATAATACTAATGATAGTCACTTTATTAGTGTAAGCACATTTAAAGGGCTCACAGTGCGTCGCAGTTTGGATGGAAGCACACATTAAGAATCAGTCAGCATGGCCCATAATAAAAACACATAATCAAACATATGGTCTTACAGTTCCTGTATTCACACTTCCACACACACATTAGAGGAACAGAAATCCCCAAATAATAGAACAAGGATTAAAGAAAAACAAACCTATAAAAATGAGTTTTCAGCAGTCTTGTTAAAACAAACCACAGATTCTGCTGAACTGACGGCTGTTCCAGTGTTTAGGAGCTACAGCTTGAAAAGTGTGATCGCCTCTGGTTTTAAAATGAGAGCAGGGAGCAGATAGGAAGCACCGATCAGAGGATCAAGATCTCAGCAGGTCTGCGGCTCGGCCACGCAGAGCTTTACATGCTATTATTAACATTTTGAAACAGTTGAGGCTTCCTTCATCATCTGAATTGCAGATATCACTAAATTACTTAATTTTTAAATTACACTTTTTTATCCAGGGGTCTGAAAACTGCTAAATAAAGGTTTGAGGTCAACATGATATGAGATGATGATCCTCTTTCATTTCTACACCCAGGTGTGGGACCACGTGCTTGTACGCTTAATTTGATGATGTACAGCAGATTAATGTCAGGATTAAAGACAATGACAACATTTATTAGTAAATCTGGTTTCCTGTAGTTTAAGTGGATTACTGGTCTGGTAGCGATGATGGTTTGGAGGCAGTGGCACTGACATAAAGAGACATCAGTGGGACAACTCAGGTTGAGCAGTTTAGAGGTGAAGTTAGAGACATGTGCAGAGCAGGGATGGTTGATGTATTGGACAAGGGATGTTGAAGATGAAGCTACCAGGCAGGAAGAAAAGAGGAGGACCTCAGAGAAGATTCAGGGATGTAGTGAAGGAGGACATGTCGAGGGTTGCTGTGACAGAGGAGGATGACAGGAACAGGGTGAGATGGAGGCAGAGTGATGTGCTGTGACGATCCCTAAAGACAGGAGCTGAAAGAACAGCTTTTTTCCAACAGTGCCTCTAATATCTTGACACTCGAGAGGATTATTGCTGTGCTCACAGTTATTTGTCTGTTTAATGAACAGAGGAATGTCCTGAGGAAGCAGCGGCACTGGGAGAAGCAAGTGGCTGCGAAGAAGAGCAGGAGGAAAGAAGAGAAGCTGAGGAGGAAGATGAATCGTGAGCTGGAGTCCGGTAAAGAGAAAACAAAGAGAAGCTTAAGGAGGAACTGAACGTCTCCAGCTGGTGACATCACAGCATCTGTCCCTTTCCTGTGTGTTCTTTGACATTCAGGTGCTAGCACAGAGCGTCAGTTTACCAAGCGGGTCATGAAGGCGATCACTAAAGAGCGTCTAGCTGAGGCTCGGTCCACGGGGCTCAAGCTCTGCGTCGACCTCAGTATGACAGACTGCATGTCTGATAAGGTCGGTGGACAATGAAAAACCTTACAACGTGTTCAACTTACCAAAAAACCTCCTTTCATTTAAGAAGGTGGTGTTTATTCACCTCCAGCAGTGCACGTTTTGTTGTTTCAGGAGATAAGCCGACTGGCAGGCCAGCTGAGGCGGCTCTACGGGTCGAATAAGAAGGCGACCAGACCGTTTCACCTGTTTCTGACAGACCTGAGAGAGGACAGCCGTCTCTACAGAGAGTGCGTGCGAATGAATGACGGCTTCCTCAACTACACGGTGATATATATAAGTTTGTTTTTACAGTTAAAGGGATTTTAAGTGAATAAACCCTTCAGCAAGTCTTTAAAACAATTTGCATGTAAGCATTTATAGGACTGTAATTCACTCATTAAAGGACACTTTTGAGTTTAGGTTTCTCAAAATGTTTTAACCAAAATTGTCTCAATGTTTTATGAGCAGGTGCTGATTGTTGCCATGTCTCCTGTGTTTGTTTTGTTCAGATGGATATAACAGACGAAAGCTGTCTGAACCTGTTTCCTCCAGAATCGGTTGTCTACCTCACTCCAGATGCTGAAGAAGGTGTGAAAAGATTTGAGCAAAGATGCTTTAAATTAGATTAGATTTCATTTATGTCTTTGATTTGCTCTTGAAATGCATTATTGGTCCAGCAGGTGGCGCCATTTGGCTGTCATGTTTGCTGCTGCTTGTCCCGCTCCTGTTTAGCATTTCATTAATATTATTTTCAAAATTAGTTTCTCGTTATGTGGAACTTTAATAAGATGAAATTAATAGAAAACAGCATTAAAACACTAAAAATAAATATATGAAATATTTACAGAGAAACAAAAATATTACACAAGATGTACACTCAGTGGCCGCTTTATTAGGCACACCTGTTCAACTGCTCTTTTACACAAATATCTAATCACCCAATCACATCGCTGTAACTCAGCGCATTTATTAATTCAGACATGGTGAAGACGACCTGCTGAAATGCAAACTGAGCATCAGAATGAGGAAGAAAGGTGATTTAAGTGACTTTGAAAGTGGCACAGTTGTTGTCAGACAGGCTGGTGTGAGTATTTCAGAAGCTGCCGTCTCTGGGGTTACAGAGGATTTCCCGAAACAGAGAAAATATCCAGTGAGCGGCAGATCTCTGGGTGAAAATGGCCTGTTGATATCAGATGATCACTTGTCACAACCAAGCTATGTAGAAGAGCACTGCTGTCAGAGCAGGAAACTGAGGCTGCAGTTCACACAGACTTGCCTAAACTGGACAAAAGAAGATCAGGAAAATGTGTCCAACATTCAGATGGTAGGGTAAACAATATGAATGCATGGATCCATCCTACCTTGTCTAAAAAGTTGTAACTGTTCAGACAAGGCAGTGCAGTAATGGTGTAATAATGTGGGGAATATTTTCTTGGCACACTTTGAGCCCCTTAGTACAAACTGAGCATCATTTAATCACCACAGCCTGCCTGAGTATTGATGCCATCCACGTCCAACCCTTTATGACCACAGTGTGCCATCCTCTGTTGGCCGCGTCCACAAAGTTCAAAACATCTCAAACTGGTTTCTTGAACATGAGTTTGCTGAACCTAAATGACCTCTGCAGTCCCCACATCTCAGTAGAGCATCTTTGGGATGTGGTGGAACAGGAGATTCAGATTGTTGATGTGCAGCAGACAAACCTGCAGCATCTGTGCGATGCTCTCACGTCAATATGGACCAAAACCTCTGAGTAATGTTTCCAGCACTTTGTTGAATCTGTGCCATGGAGAATTAAAA